TTAATTATATTTTAATCAAAATTTATTTTGAAGATTTATTTGAAAGAAAAAAATAGAATCAAAATTAATTTTGATGATTTATTTGAAAGAAAAAATAGAATCAAAATTTATTTTGTCCTATTATTTCTCACCTAAACCTTTATCCTAAATGTTAGTAGAATATATTTAATATTTGATTAAATCAAGAGTTCAAACAGTCCAAAACAAAGGTTCAAACAGTCTAGCACAGCAGCAGGCCAAAAGGTTCAAAATGTTCAAGTGTAAGATATTCAAATTTCTAATGATGGAGTGGAAGATATTCAAATTCGTAATAATGGAAGTACAACGACTATAAATTCAAATGACTACAACGACTATAAATTTAAATGAATACAACGGTTATAAATGGCTGTAATTTTCATTGTATATACCAAAGCTTCTAATGTAAATAAGTTACAAAAAACCTAAAAATATTCTTTGATCTATAATCACTCACATTTATTCTCAGAAATTATACACTGAGCCTTATAGCTTTAAGCCCATCTTTCCTGTGTGAGATTTACAAAAAAATTAAAGTTTCATTTTATATATCTATCTTTGAGAGATATTTATTATAAGCTTTCTTTGAAAGCAAAAATATCATTTCATCTTGTAAAAGTGTTGCAAACACTGTGTTATTGAAATCTTGAGAGTGATTGTGAATCACTTAAGATTTGCAAGGGTTTAGGCTTGTGAAGTCTGTGTAAAATTCGTGGAGGATTGCTCCATTTGTAAAGAAGTTGCTAGCACCCCTATGAAGCTCTAACATAGTGAAAAATCTCAAGTGAAACTTGAGGAGTGGACGTAGGCCGAGTTGAAGTCGAACCACCACAAATTTGTTTGCCTTTCTCTCCTTTATCTCTTTATTTTATTTTAAATTGCCATAGGTATATTTCACATTTTTATTGTGCTAAAATCATTAACTGACATAGTTGTTAAGACATTTGTTTTAATTATTTTTATTTAATTAATTATATTTATCTATTGTACTAGTCATAATTTTTATTAGGGTATTATTAATTTTAATTGTAAAAACCTAATTCACCTCCCCTCTTAGGTTGTCTTTTGGGTAACATTGTAGTCACTTCATTTTTAATAAAACAATCACTATTATTTTCATAAATTTAAAAATGCCTTTGACATTTTATTCTAAATGTATATATTTTTAAAATTTCATTCATATACATATGTAAAAAAAAAAAATAAGGAAAAATCTAAGGGGGGACGTGACCCCCCTCGTCCTCATGTGACTCTGCCACTTTATGCCGATAAATACTCGGTACGGGTATGATATATTTTCTAAAGTATCCATGATTCATAGATTACACTTCTCTACTTCATCCATCATCCTTTACTTTCTCACTTTCCTCAACTACCTGCTAGCCTACTCTCTTTCCCACAAAATCAAACATGCCATCGAATTCAAAAATAATCGACTACTTCATCGATGTTATTTTTGAGATCTCATTGGTATCCATTTCAACCTTCATTGATAGCGACCGCGACCTTCATTGAAGATGGTGGAACATTTTAGTGACCTCCATCGAAGGTCATGATCATGACCTCCATTGAAGACAGTACTTGTATCCCTAATAAACTATAGTGACATTGTTTCGAATCTAATCGGTGGTCGTATCTAATGAGGTCTGAAGCTTGAATAGGATAAGGGTAAGAAAAGAAGAAAAATAAAAGAGAAAGAGAGAGAAATCATAGACAAAGATGTTAGAGGTAAAGATGAAAGAAAGGGTTATGTTGCTAAACCAGAGAAATATAACGAAAAATAGGGAGATGGTTCACTAATTTGAGAGTTATAATGATAAAATGAGTGTTTTATATATAATTCTTTGTTGTTGATATTAACATAAACTTGTAAGGTTAACTAAGAGCATCCACAGTGGAGTTGTTAAGGGGTGTGTTAGTATCAGTTGTTAATATTTTGGCTAGTGAAAGGCTCAAATGATGCTCCAATAGAGCTGTTAAGGAGTGTGTTAGTGTCAGTCATTAGTGTTAGCTATTAATTTGTTTGTTAACTATAGCCAGCCTTCTAGCCAACGAGAGAGAGAGAGAGAGAGAAAGAGAGGGACACTGGGAAGTGTAGTGGGGTCATCCGGCCGAACGTCCGGACCCTTGTTGTGGAGCTCTGAATCTTGTTTGTGAGAGAGATGATCGCTTGTTGGAAAAATGGTTTTATATAGGCATATTTTTTAGCCCATTTTGGGTGGACCCCAAATGTCTTTTGGGGTGGGTCCGAAGAGGTGAAGTAGTAAAGACGGAACGTCAAAACCATTTATGAGTGAATGGGAAGTTGACGTCGTTTTCGAGTCTAACATTAATTTTTATTTGATAAAATTCATTTGGATTTTCAATAAAAATTATTGTGGGAATTTAATTTAATTCTAATTCAAATTTTGGGTTCCTAAGTGGTTTCCTAAAGTTTGTAATTGTGAAAATTTAATTTAATTCTAAATTTAAATTTTAGGTTCCGTGATAGTTTCCTAAAATTAATACCTTTTCTTTTATTTATTAAACTTGTTTAATATATATATATATATATATATATATTTTAAATGGTTTAAATGAAAATAAAATAAAGGTGAAACAGATTCCAACGGGTCTCTTTTCAATTAATGTGAAAAGTTGATCTTTACTACGGTCAAAACAAGTTTTGAAATTTGAATAGTAATAGTTGCATCTTTTCACAAAATTGTTTTGGACCTGTTCGGGGGAATACCGTTGCCTATATATACTGACCATAAATCCAATAATTGATCATCCGGAAAAAATCAGTCTGTTTTGGTCTTTGGTTGTCCTAAATTCTGCATTTGTTTTTTATTTATTCTTCATTTTAGTATTAGAATAAATTTCAGAAAGTTAGAACACAGGTTTAGTTCGCCGAACAAATTGTTTGGAGTACTACTACAATTTGTGAAGATCATTGTATCCTGGGAGATAGACGCCGCTCAACCGTAAGTACCATAGCAGGGCGAATCTGTCTTAAGGACAGAGTGTCACACACTCGACTTGGTCTTGTAATTTTATTTGGTTCAATAAAATAAATCCGGTATGTTATTTATTTATTTTATTTGAATTTGTTTCTTGTTATTTTATTTACACAGAAGATTGGTCCTACATCGCTGTGGCGTTAGTTTGGGAGAGAAATACGAACCATGGAATCTTGTTTGAGAGAGGCCAAACATGGTGAAACATGGCTGTTTTTAGCATCTGAATGCATTTGTGAATATGGAGCTCCATTTCTCAACATAGCTTGTGAGAAATTGTTAAAACATGATCATGCATATATATATATATATATATATTCTCAACTGAGAAGAAGAGCTGTAGGCTTGAAAGTTATTTATTTATTTTATTTATTATTTATATATATACATTTAACATACATCTTAACATCGCTGTGGCGTTAGTTTGGGAGAGAAATACGAACCATGGAATCTTGTTTGAGAGAGGCCAAACATGGTGAAACATGGCTGTTTTTAGCAGATATGAGAAATTGTTTGATCATGCATATATATATATATATATATATATATTCTCAACTGAGAAGAAGAGCTGTAGGCTTGAAAGTTATTTATTTATTTTATTTATTATTTATATATATACATTTAACATACATCTTAACATATTTATTGTACCACCACTCACTTTCTAAATTTAACAAATTCTTAACATATATTTTTTGGTCTCACTTTTATCATTTTTTATCATATAACACATTTTAATAAATAATTTTAGTTATCCTATTGTGGATGCTCTAACAATGGGCTAATAGAGAGAGGATAATTTGTTATTCGAATATACACTTGAAGGGTGATATGTAAATTTTTAAAAAATAATAATAATATACAAATTCACTTTATAAATTTACTTTTTAAATCAAATAATAAGTATATGAGATAATTGGTGCATAATATGAAAAAATATCAAAGAAAAATTTGCTTAAAATATTTTAATACGCTACCACATAATTGAATTTGAAATGTAAGTCTCATTTAAAAATATTTTGGCCTATTTTAAGAAGTAGGTTAAAAGTTGATATTTTAATTTTTTTTTAAAAATGTAAAAAAAATAAAAAAGTAATATGACTAAAAAAACCAAAAAACTAATTTCTAACCTTGTTCCCAAACAGGTTGTTTAAAAAAAAAAAAAAGTTAATCCCAAAATAGTTTGTATAGCCTTCTATTAGAATGCAAGTTAATTTTTTGACTTTTTGATAATTTTAGGCTAAGTTTGGGAAGACTAAACAAGTGTACTTTTTGACTTTTTATGAAATATGAGTTGGATTTGGGTTAGGTTTGAAGTGATGTGTTAGAGAGATGATATGACTTAAATAAGATGATGTGACTTAAATAGGATAGTGACTTTTTGACTTTTTGAATTTTTTGGAGGATGCCAAACTTGGCCTTAATATCAACGCTTGCCACACTTTTCCAGGACTACAGCTGCAGACTCATATATCTTTTTTACATTTATTTCTCTACTCTATCAATTTTATTTTTTTATTTTTGTAATCATGTAAATTTTCAAATTTTATTGACTTCAAGATCAAACTAACGACCCATCATGTGATAGAGAAATTAAACTAATTTAGATGAGAGAAGACGTGTTATCAATCCAATTAAAATAAAAAAAAATAATTAGATATAAATACAATTTTTATATAAAAAATTCACACACGTACAAAAATTACAAAAATATTTACAATTTTAAAACAACACCCACTACCACCTAATTAGTAGGATAATTAGTGCTGCCAAGCATTTTTCCTCAAAAAAATTGCCAAACGAAGGCATATTGCTACATATTGAGTGGTATTTGTAATTTGCTCCTATTTAATTATTTTGAACAGCGCCGCCAACAGCGCCGAAACCGAACTCGATTCTCACCGAAACATCGGTCTCCACCACACCGAAAACATTTCCAATAAATTTCACGCACGCGCGCTCGTTCGCTCGCTCTGTCACAGCCAACTCTGAATAAAAACAAAACCACTCTGTCAGATTACATTTCAGATCCATTTTTATCTACCTTGCTTTGCTTCTCTCTTTCTTTTCTTCTTCTCTCTTTTCTTTTCTTTTCTTTTCTTTTCCTCTCAAAATTCAATCCCCGCGAAACGCGTCATTACCGTCAATCTCAATTCCTCCATCTCACGGCGTCCATAGATTCAGACCTCCCTCCGATCTCATCTCAACCCGATCTTATTTTCTCGAGAATCTAGCACCTAGAAAATTTAGTCCTACGCACACATATACAACACATACATATATATATATATATACATATACATAAGAATAGATATAGATATAGATATAGAGAAGAGTATATATGGATCGAAGGAGGACAGAGAGTCCGGTGTACACAAGGCAGTGGAGTGGGGGATCGAGCAGCACGGGGTCGTCTTCTCCGGCGATGTCGCCGGCTCACCCCCACTCTCGGCTCCCGCCGGCGACCGGGCTCTCCACTATCAAGAGGACTCAGAACGTCGCCGCCAAAGCCGCCGCGCAGCGTCTGGCTCGGGTTATGGCTTCTCAGGCGCCGGACGACGAGGACGAGGAAGACGATCTAGGGTTCCGATTCGCTCCTCCTCCACCTACCGCCTTTTCGAGCAATGTTAATAGTAATAGCAATGCTGTTCCTGTTAATTCGTTTGCCAAGCCTAATAGATCTCCTTCACCTGCGGTAATTTAATCAACTCTGTGTTTTTGAGGTGTAGTTTTGCCAAATTTGTAGGGAATTATAGTGTTATTAATCAGTATGCTTTAGAGATTTACATTTTGGGTACTGAATGAGTTTTGATTCCAGTTAAAGTTTAGATTAATATCAAATTGAATATAAATTTTTGTATTTTAATCTGTTCACAAGTTTGATTTTAGCTGTGCTGTTTCTCATCTAGGAATTAATTAATTACCTTAAATTTAACTGTTGAAAACGAAACCTCATGCTACATGTTTGCAATTGTAAATCATGTTTAGACTTATTACCTCGTATGAAATTCAATGCTTTGGAGGCAGTGACGAAACCAGGAATTCAGCAAAGGAGGCACAAATTAATGACAACATTGAATTTTATTTTTCATAATAAACAACGAGACATTACTGAACTTAAATATTATGAGTCCATTTGAATAAATTTGAATTTTGAATTAAGAGATTTGAAGCTTAATTTTATAAAAATATTGGAGAGTAAATATTATAGGTGGATTGAAAAATTCTAAAACATAAGTCGAGACAAAAATGATATATTTTAGTATAGAAATTTTATAAAACACACAACAACAAAACAAAAAAAGGTGTGTATCATATGTTGTAGACTAAGATCTTTGTGGTATTTGGTTATGAAATATTTTGTGGTGTTGGTTATGACTCAGTTATGACTTATTGTAGTTATACCTCAAGTGGTGTTTGTTTATGACCCTTGGTTATGACTCATTGTTATGTTAGTTACGACTTAGCTGTGACCCATTGTGATTGCTATTTTTTTTGTTATGGCCGAAGAGGTGGTGTTTGGTTATAATTTATTGTGGTTTTTTTAGTTATGAATGAAGTGATTTGATTATGACACTTTTCCTGGTATCAACACCACAAAATGTCATAACTTGTATATAATATACCCTTTTTGGCGAGTGTATGGTAGAAGGGCCCATTTTAGTAGGATCTTTGTAATGAGAAGGAAAATTTTTAATAGAGGGGCACTATTATAATGTTAAGGAGGCACATGACCCTCCTGGTCCCATGGTAAATCCGTCATTGCTTGGAGGGAATAATCTAGTGTGGGGCAAGAGGTTTTAGGAGTGAGATGTTTGTGAAAATCCTTTCAGTACCATATGTACCTTATTATGCATTTTTCTTGTACATGTTATGTATGTTTATGGTAAATGCTATGTAATCTTTTGATTGAGTTATGATAATTTGTGGTTTAGAAATGAAAAATGTGTAACAACACTATAAAAAATTGGGAGATGACAATTTGTGGTTCAAAACAATGAAAAAATGCGTAACATTACCTCAAAAATGCGTAACATCACCACAAAAATGCGTAACATCAACAACAATTGCCACAAAAATGTGTAATATGTACAAAAAAATTGAGTAACAAAGTGTATATGGTACACACTTGTAGCAGAAAGAGGAGGATTTTGGATGTTTTAATCTCTCTTTTTGGGTATTCTACCATTAAGAAAATGAAGTGCAGTTACAAATTCTTTTTGAATTATTTTGCCCATCATCACATTCCCTGAAAAACACAAATTACTTGATAATAGAAGAACAAATGCTAGTTTGTTTTTTTTGTATAGTTTTGAAGGCTAATTGGATACTTCTGTATGTAGTTAGGTCGGAACTTTATGGAGCATACTCCTTCAGTTCGTTCCACTTCAGCTGGAAGACCGTCAATGTCAGTTCGTTCAACGACAGTAGTGCCGCCTAAACGAGGATCACTGAGAACACCAGTCTCTATTCCACCGATGGAACCTCCGAGTAGCAGACTAAGAGAAAAGAGGTAACAAATTTAACCCTTTTTTTCCCTTATTTTATTGGGTTAATTACACTTTTCACAAATTTCACTTTAGTCCTTATAGTTTCGATTTGAACAATTTGGTCTCTACGCTTTTGAGTCTAGTTTCAATTTGATCATTTTGTCTAATTTTTTGTTAATTTTGAGAAACTTTTCAATTTCTAAGGTCTACATGTAGACAAAATTAACAGAAATTTAGATGAAAGGATCAAATTAAAACTAGACTTAATGTGTAAGGACCAAATTGCTCAAATTAAAATTGTGGGGACTAAAGTGAAATTTGAGTCAAACTATAGGGGTGAAAAGTGTAATTAACCCTAATTTATTTATCCTTGCCAATAATAATTGAATGTAGTTTGGTAGTAGTTAACTACAAATGGTTTTATTGTTAATGGATTGGCCATTTTGAAATTTTTTATTTTGATTCCGGGCTAGAACCTTGTATGTTTTCTCTTTTTTGTTTTGGTTGGTATGGGTGGACGTTAGCAATTTTTTTTGAAAGAGTTATCTTTAAACATTTTATATGGGGTACACTCTATATTATTGTGTGTCAAGTACCCGTCAATATACCCAGCTTTTCGATTTCACATAATCCAAGCTTGAGCATGTTGATGCACACCCTCAAGGTTCTGAAAAGCGGTTGCGGTTGCGGTCGCTGTAACGTTGGCGGTGGCGCGGTTGCGGGGTGTAAAGGTCGTAGCGTAACGGTTGTAGTACCAGAACCGTGATTTTTTTTTTTTATTTTTCGCACAATTTGAACAAAACTTGCTGATACACATTTTTTTCCCCCATAATCATATTTATTGGGTTTTAAAATAAATATTGATCAATTTTTGTAAATTTTTAAGTATGATCCAATATATTTCATATTTTTAAATCACTATAAACTGAGTTTTTTACATTTTATTTTAATAATTAATGACTTTATATTTCATAAATCCATATTACGCTTGTGGCAAAAAAAAAAAAAAAAAAATATTGGATTTAGATGTATAAAATTATTATTTTTAATTATTACACTTGTGGAAGCATATGCAAATTTTAACTTGAATAGTTTTAAAAAATAAATTATACATGCTAATATAATCATATAAAAATTAAAAAATAAAATATAAAGAATTTTTTTTGTGGGGTTTGGATCACTTGAATATTCATTCTCTTTTTAGATAACCTGCAAATAAAAATAAAATAAACTAATAAAAAAATTGACATGTATAAAATATGTATTAATATATAAGTGTTATGTTTTATAGATATTTTACAAAAAATATTCACTAACTATTATATATAAGATAAACAATGACAAAAGTAAGAGAATAAATAAGAGTCTGAATATATATATTTTTTAATCAAGCCAAATAGATAATGATCACACTTATTATTTTTATTATTATTATTATTATTATTATTATTATTATTTTCAAACAATACATAGATAGACACAAACAAACAAAATGGTTAAGTGATAGCAGCTGAATAAAATAGTATAGTTCTTACAGCTTCAATAAATCAATAACATGTTCTTTATCTTCTCTCCTCTCTCTCTCTCTATCTATCTCTTACTCCTCCATCTTCCCTCTTCTCTCTCTATCCCTCTTCCTCTATTTTCAGTTTTTTTTTTTTTTTTTTTTTTTCAAAGAAGTAGTTTGAAACATGTTTACGGTAACGGTGTATAACAAGCTGTTATGGCACCGTTACGATCACTACGGCAACCGCTACGGCTGACACACCTGTGAATCTCAGTCACACTGCAAAAGCGGCCATAACGGGTGGCGGTAACCACTACAACTGTTACGTAACGGCGTTACGTAATGGTTGCGGCCGCTTTTTAAAACCTTCTTACCTGATATTTAATTGACTTGAAATGTCTTTGTGGAGGTGCTTTAGATATTAGTTATTTTTTTATTAATTTCTTTTCATTTTATTTTAGTATACAAAAGAGGGGTTTTTGAAGAAATAATGAATCAGATAAAGAACTGTTATGCATCTCACAAGTTGCTCTTTTTTTTTTTTCTTTTCTTTTCTTTTATGTTTTTGTTTGATATGTTTCGGTCCATTGCCGACTGTGTGTTTTCATTTCCTTTCCTTTAATAGGAAAGAATTAAAGTGAGCCATCCAGGCTAAACATTTTGTAGTGATGCTTTTTTATGTTTTCTTGTATCAGTCTTCTTATTTATTCTTGAAGTTGGTGCAAGGCTATGTTCAATCCAATGTAACTACTACACTTAAAATTTGCTTTATACAACAATCTCAGCAATTAGATTTAGATATGTCAAAGTTTTGATGTGTTCTTTAGATGATGATGGATCAGTTGATGGTAGTTGTCACTCTCTTTTATGTAGTTGATTACTTTGCTGCTGATGCTTGATGTTTTAACTAGATTTAAACTCTTTGCAACATTGCATTGGTATTTATGGTACCACAGACTTCAAAAGCAAGTGCCTTTACTTCTTTGCTTACATGCATTCATATGTTTGTTTGCGACCATGCATCTCCTATGCATGCGATTGTGGAGGGGAAACTAATTTCCACTTGCATGGGTATGCTGGCAGCATTGTTGATATTTCCTTTATTGGTAAATATTGTAGGTTTACAGCAGATGTAGGACGAAATGACGTGAAAGATACAGGGAATCAGCGGGAGGCTTCTGCACTTAGAGATGAAGTATGAAAACGTCCATTCCTCGCTCCTTTTATAATTTTTATTTTTATTTTTATTTTTTTGGTCTTCTTATCAGGCTTGCATCCAACCTCTGAAATAGTGGTGGAAGCCATTTATGGGTCATAGCTGATCTTTATTTGTCTTTAGTTTGTTTAAATGATACTCCTGTAGAGAAATTACTGTCGTGCAATGTTTGAAATGTAGTCCTGAAATCATTAATATCAAGTTGACATCTATTTGAATTGCAGCTTGATATGCTACAGGAGGAGAATGAGATTATCCTTGATAAGGTGAGTTTCCCCCAATACGCCACCTTTAAAACAATAAATAAATGAATGAATGAATTCAATAAATTATGCTGATATTATTTGTTATCTTAAAGTTATGCTTGAATTTGTTCTGCAGCTTCGGCGTGCTGAAGAAAAGCATGAAGAAGCAGAGGCCAGAGCTAGGGAGCTAGAGAAACAAGTAAACAATCTCATTTAGTTAGTAATCTTCATTTTTCAAATTATCTATTGCATATGATATAACTGTTAAAAAATTGCTCATAAGCTGAAATAGCTGTTGTTTTCTTATCGTGAAGAGGGACTACTTTTTAATATTACATTTTCTTGATTAATAATAATAAGGAATAAACATTCTCACTGTACCTATTGGAAGCTAAGAGGTTTGGGAACTTCTTTGGAGTTGCCATATCTGTGTTGGACACTAGTACTTTGTAGATACACCTAGACACGTGTTTAGCACCTCATGGATGTCTACATAGTTGAAAAATAAATTCCTTTATTTTGAAGGTAATTGCTGGTAAGTCCATTTCTATGAGGGGATATGGCATTTGGTTCAAGGATTGATCTTTTAGGGAGACAAGGACATGATTAATAAATTGTTTAATGAGAAAGGCAAATTATTGTTTTGAAGGAAAATTTTCCCCCATTTTTGGCCCATTGCTGCTGGACCACTGCTGGCGACGGAAAAGTCATCAAAAAAAAATCTCTAGTAGTGGTTAGTGGTGGTGGTGATATGGACAGATTAGATGGATAGATAGGTTACACATGGACAAATAGGGGATGACATGAGGACAGATAGGTGACGTGGATACATAGACAGATAGGTAGGGGTAATATGGTCTTTTCAGATTGTTTTGTTTTTTTGCCCCCAAAAGAATAGACCTTGGGCCTATTCCCCTAAAAGGTTTGAAATTGGACTTATGGCCTGAGTACCCTAATTTTCAACCAACAAAAACAACTATAAACGTCTGTACATAAAAAATCTATTCAAAGTGGTCTATGAAATCCAAAATTTAATTCAAAGATGGATTAACCATCTTGGAAAACCAATTATTCAAGATGGACAAAATTTACTCTTGATTCTCAAAATATTCCTCTTTCCGTTTCCCTTCAAAATTTCTTCTATTCCTTTCATATCAAATTCACAAGGTAAGCACCAAAAGGACTAAGCACTAGGTCTTCATTCTTCTCCTTCCCACATGAGTTCCTCTCCGAGAGCTAGGTGTCACGTACCGACTCATTAGAGATGCGAGTTCTGCACCAAGCACCTTATAAGTGCATTTGTTTGTGAGCAGCAAGACAGGCGGGGTAGATCCCTATCGCATCACTTGGGTTGGTCCTTGGGCATAATGCACGAGAGTATGCAGTAGTACTTGTGGAGTCGGCTTCTCAGGAGGATGACAAGCGCTCAATTCGTGATAAGTGGTAATAGAGCCAGCCTAGGGGCACTGTGATGGGGACGGTATGTGAGACTTACACCAAGCACCTTCATTGTGGGGTTCGTACCAAAGGTGGTGTCTTCGCGGAGTGGGTTTTCCATGGGTAGGGAAACAGACAAGTATGGAGATAGTTAGGCTAATGTCCCCTTGATGAGGACGTTAAGGATTGACAGTGGTAGCATGTCACGTACCAATTCATTGGAGATGTTAGTTCTACACCAAGCACCTTGCAAGCGCATTAGTTTGTGAGCAGTAAGACAGACAGGGTTGATCCCTATCGCATCACCTGGGTTGATCCTTGGGCATAATGCACGGGGTATGCAGTACCACTCGTGGAGCCAGTTTTTCGGGAGGATGACAAGCGCTCAGTCCGTGACATAGGGCTACAAACGAACCGAATCGAGCCGAGTCAAGCTTTGCTAGGCTCAAGCTCGGCTTGTTTGTTTATCGAGCTCGATTATTCAGCTCGATAATGAAATTGTTATTATTATTTATATTATTGTATCAACTCATTGGAGATGTTAGTTCTACACCAAGCACTTTGCAAGCACATTAGTTTGTGAGCGGCAAGGCAAATAAGGTAGATCCCTATCGCATCACTTGGGTTGGTCCTTGGGTATAATGCATGGGGTACGCAGTACCACACGTGAAGCCAGCTTTTTAGGAGGATGACAAGCGTTCAGTCCGTGACATAGGGCTACAAACGAACTGAGTTGAGTCAAGCTTTGCTAGGCTCAAGCTTAACTTGTTTGTTTATAGAGCTCGATTATTCAGCTCGTTAATGAAATTATTATTATTGTTATTTAAATATATAAATAATATATTTATATATTATTTAATAGAAAATTTAAATAAAAATATTACTATTATATTAATAACATATAAATAATATATTATGGTTATATTTTTAAATTATTTAATATATAAATAATATATTTATTTTATAATTTAAATAAAGATAAATAAGCCAAGCTTATTCAAGATCGAGTTAGGTTCGTTTACTAACCAAGCCTAAAAGTCAAGCTCGAGCTCATTTATTTACCCAATGAACTGAGCCGAGCCAAGCTCAAGAACAACTCCATTCATTTGCAGCCCTATTGGGAGTTAAGAAGCTCCCCAACTCCATAAGGGAACACCCAAATAACACTGAACATGAAAAGAATCAAGGACAACAAATCCCTCGCACCTCGCAATGTATGAAAAGATGATTCACTGTTTCCTTGTCATGTTTACACAAGCAGCACCAATTAGCACATGCATTTGCCTCTTTCTAATCAAATTATTAATGATTAGGATCTTACCATGTGATGTGCACAACACAAAGAAGGCGACCTTAGAAGGAGCTTTCACATCCCACATCTGGCCTTACAGGAAGGAAGAACCCCTGCGGCCCAAAAAGATCTCATAAAAAGTATTAACATCAAAATAACCAGATTTGGATCTCCTCCATCAAATGGTATCAGTGAGTGGTGTATAGGTGTGCAAGCAGATCCACCAACTCCACCTCCCAATTATTAAGCTCTCTCCTCAAGTCAATATCCCAAAAAGTCTGATTACTCTCCATCTTCAAGTACTCGCTCACAAAAGCTTCCTTATTCAAAGCAGCACAGGCAGTATTAAGGTAAGCAACCTTCCAACTTCTATTCTTCACACCAGCAATGGCTCCAAAATCTTACCTTCTTCATTTCCCACAAGAAATTAGATGTGGCCTTAAAAGGAATCTCACTCCCTACAAACACTTCTCCACAAACCTACACTATAGGACATAGACACGTCTAGTCCAACATTCCCCCCCCCCAATAAACACAACATACTTATTCTCCACTACCTTCCTCCAACACCTCTTTCTCTCAACTATAAATATAAATCACCACAACTACTCTCCCAATAAGGCCTAAACTATGTAGCACAAAGACATATACTAGGACTCATGAAGAAAAAAAAATACTCCAATGCATGACCCGTGTAGCACAAATACATGTCAGAAGGAGCCTTCATACTGTGCACCTCCATCCCCAGAAAGGAAAACCCCCTATGGCCCAAAAAGGGCTCATAAAAAGTCTTAATATCTGACTAACTAGATTTGGATGTCCTCCATCAAATGGTATCATCTCCATATCCAATGTCAGTGGCGTACAGGGTTGCAAGTAGATCCGCACTATCCCAAAAAATCTGACCACCCTCCATCTTCAAGTACTTGCTCACAAAAGCTTCCTTATTGAAAGCAGCACAGACAATAAAACATCTTTTAAAAAAAACCAAACCAAACATGTTTTTGTACTTTTTATCTCTAAAACACATCTCTCAAACACAAACCAAACATACCCTTAATATCTGACTAACTAGATTTGGATGTCCTCCATCAAATGGTATCATCTCCATATCCAATGTCAGTGGCGTACAGGGTTGCAAGTAGATCCGCACTATCCCAAAAAATCTGACCACCCTCCATCTTCAAGTACTTGCTCACAAAAGCTTCCTTATTGAAAGCAGCACAGACAATATTAGGGTACGCCACCTTCAGTTATATAGAACAATAGTATTTGAACGAATTTAATTTGGTGTAGAATACATTGTGTACTTATGCAAATGATTGTGGAAACTGTAATTGTTGTCACAGACATGTTGGTTACTTCCACAATCCACAATTATAAGATAACTTGCGTATGACTCTGGATGCAATCAAATAGGTTGCACAGATAGACTGGTTCCTTGTCAAGCTTCTATATAATTTTCAGTACAGAATTTTAGAAAATAATTATGTATTTGTCTTAAGAAAAATTTACATTTTAGAATTTATTTATATATAATTATGCCTTGCTATTGAAATCTCTTCCATTTTTAGGATTTGTTGGGTCTGTGTATCCATGTCATATTCTGTCCTGTCTGTGCTACTTGGGACAACATTTTTCATGCTGCAGATGGTTCCTTTTCTTATTTTATATTACTATAACTATGTCGTTTTGTCATATATTTCTAAATTGGCACTGACAAATACTATCCAGACATTTGTGCCAGCATATCGAATATTATGTGACTTCCATCAGTTAGTAATGTTTTCATGTATCTAAAATCATTTCTCTGCTCACTAGTAACCTATGAAGCATGGACACTCCAAAAATGGTGCCGTGGCAGTGTCCGACACGCGGACACGCCGGGGACACGTACGGGACACGCCAGATGGCGTGTCCCTTTAATTTAATAATTTTTTTGGAAGGGGACACGGCAGGGACACGGAGGGGACACGCGTTTGAAAATTGCCGTGTCCGTGTCCGTGTCCGTGTCCGTGCTTCATAGCTAGTAACCTCTTGGCAAATTAACCCAGATTTATGTTTACTATTAATGTGTACACACGTTAATGTGTACTATTTGAGTGTTGTTTTATTTATATTTTTTGAATTTCAGTTTTAGTAATTGAATGCTTTACTACCATGTCTCTCTCTTGAACTCATCATAAAATATTGCTTCAGCAATGATCTTAGTTTTTCATTTGCACTATAAATTTTGAACTTATAGGTTGCTGCTCTTGGAGAAGGCGTATCACTGGAAGCTAAATTGTTGAGCAGGTAAACTTGGATTGTTTAACCTGTGTACAGTGACTTAACATTCTGGGTATGATGTGTTTGGTGATTTTTTGCAGGAAGGAAGCATCATTGCGGCAAAGAGAGGTGAGTATGAGCTGCTTAATGCTAAAATTGACAATGCTTGTGCATTTATTATATGTCCTCTTTTTATTGGTGCTGAGGAAGCAATTGCATTGAGATGAATTATGCCAACTATGGCTTGGTGATATAAGTCATGTATTTCAAGTTTTTTGTTTCAATTCTGCAAAAATCTGCAGTTTGTTCTCTATTATGAGGGATTGCTTGTTTCTTTGTGCCAAATATTATGGTAGCGTTTGGTTTAGTTTTAGAATTATGATTTGAGAATGGAGTTGTATTTTGAGTTTGTGAGTTGTTGAATCATGATTTGAAAAGAGAAAATTTATTTGGTTATGAGTTTTGAATTGAATTTTGAATTTTTGAAATGAGTTTTGAAATGAGAAAAGTTGTTTGGTTATGAGTTCGGAAAAGAGTTTTCAAAACTTAATTCAAAAACTTATTACTCATAACCAAACACACAACTCAAAACTCTATTGAAAATTCTATTCAAAACTCATAACCAAATTCTTTTTAAAATTTAATTCAAAAAATAATTATTGAAACAAATAATTTTTTTATGTAAAATATTAAAAAAAATTATTTTTTGTTAAAAAAAATTTAGCTAGTGCTTTAAAATTACTTTTGATTATATATTTGGTTGGAAATTTTTTTTAATTGTTTTGTTTAAAAACGGTCTTAAAAAAAATAATTTCTATATTTAAAAAAATATCAAAAAAAATGTAATTTTTTTGTTTTCAGATAACAAGTTGCAATTGCCAAAAAAAAAAAAAAAAAAAAAGCACTGTTCCGGTCAACCGGCCAGACGACCGGGTAGACCCAATCCGCAAATTGCAAATTCAAAATTCAAAATTCAAGAACTCTACTCTGCCAAACATGCATTGGAATGTGTATTCAACTAGGAAGCACGGATACGGGATACGGATACGATACGATACGGCGATACGACAAAATTTGAAAAACTAGGATACGGGTACGGCGGGGATACGTTCGTAAAAAATATTATTTTAACAATTTTTAGTAATGCAGTATGCATAAAAATAAAACTTAAAGCAAAAGACAACTTGATAAAAAAGAAAGATTCCATCACACTATAAAAAAAAATTTGTGCATCAAAAAAATATCTAACAAAATGTAATTTTTTTGTTTTTAGATAACAAGTTGCAATTGCCAAAAAAAAAAAAAAAAAGCACTGTTCCGGTCAACCGGCCAGACGACCGGGTAGACCCAATCCGCAAATTGCAAATTCAAAATTCAAAATTCAAGAACTCTACTCTGCCAAACATGCATTGGAATGTGTATTCAACTAGGAAGCACGGATACGGGATACGGATACGATACGATACGGCGATACGACAAAATTTGAAAAACTAGGATACGGGTACGGCGGGGATACGTTCGTAAAAAATATTATTTTAACAATTTTTAGTAATGCAGTATGCATAAAAATAAAACTTAAAGCAAAAGACAACTTGATAAAAAAGAAAGATTCCTACAAAACTAAGAATCTTCAAGGTCAAGAGCTTCAACTTGTTCCCCTTCATCAGTGAATATCACAAGACCTTAGCTAAAGCTAAAGCCAAAGCCAAAGCCAAAAAACCATTCTTAAATAAAAATTTCAGCAAATATACTTTTTTAAGTCATCAATGATAGCCTAGGAAGCACGGATACGAATATGGTGATATGGGGATGTGGATATGGCGATATGTCAAAATTTGAAAAAGTATGATACGGGTACAGCGGGGATACATTCATAATTATTTTTTTTTGTGTGATTTTTTTTTTTTGTGATTTTAATAATGTAATATGCATGAAAATAAAACTTAAAGTAAATTAATAAATAAAGAGAAGGATTCCTATTAACCTAAAAGTGCTCAAACATTCATAAAACATCTAAAACTAAAAGCAAAAGCAAATGCAAATGCAAATTAAACATCATCCTTACATGCCAACACCAAAAAAAGAATGAGAGCAGAGAGAAGAAACGTGAGAAAGCGAGAGAGAAGTGAGAGACAACAAGGATACATCAATTTGACAAATTCTATTACTTAAGCTCTCACTATATTCCTCTTATGAAAGAACTAAACAAAATATTATAAGTAATATGTAACTTCGAGTATCCGATACTTCAAAATTAATAAAAAATTAATTAAGAAGTATCCGATACTTTTAAGAAGTATCCGATACGTATCCGCGAGTATCCGAGGAGTATCGGTATCCGATAAATATCCGATACGGATACGTTACCCTTTTTGAAGTATCCGTGCTTCATAGGTATTCAAACATGGCATTGGAATCAATTTTTGAAAACCTAAATCAAACATAACATTCTATGATTTGAAATTTAAACCAAATAGAGCCATATTATTTCTTGGAGGCTGCCCTTAGGCTGCATTACATGTTTCTGTTACAGGCTGCCCTCAAAGCTGCGAAACAGACAAAGGATGGGAGAGAGGAGGAAATTGCTACGCTTCGTGTAGAAATTGAGGTAATGTAAGCTAATAGTTATCCTTCAATTCTATTTTTTGTTTTATACCATACTATTGATCCTTTGGGCTTTCTTTATTTTGTTGGAATCAGAATTTAAAAGATGACACTGCAAGTGCTGTAGAACAGCTCCGAGAGGCAGAATCTGAAGCAAAAGCTCTTCGCACAATGACACAAAGAATGATTTTGACTCATGAGGAGATGGTTGTCTTTCAAAGGCCTATCGCGATTTATGACTAGCTTGCTAAAGATTTTCATTTTATATTTTTCTGAAATCTACCTTTTTTATTTTCCATTTTAGGAGGAGGTTGTTTTAAAGAGATGTTGGCTTGCTCGCTACTGGGGCTTGGCTGTGCAGCATGGTAATGTACTTGAAATAATTTTGGAGGAGTCTGAAAGAGTGGCAAATTAGTCATTACCTATCTCGAGTTCTCATATCTAAGCTTGCATGAAAAATTAGGGCCATTTTACGGTTTGATGTCAAATTTTCCCTCTCTAGTTTATGTCTGGTTTATAAAGTTTTGTTATCATTTGAAGCTTGGCTTTATGGAGCAATGAGTTATTAAAAGCCAATTATCTAATTTTTGGTTTTTTTGATTTCATTTCATTTCCCAAATTTTGTTGCATCCCATTTACTTTTTATTGGCTTTCAATGAGTGGTTGACTTTTGTACATCATTTATTCTATTACCTCTGAGTTGATTTTTTGCCATTTTCACTTGCCTACTCCATAGGCATATGTGCAGATATAGCAGTTTCAAAGCATGAGCACTGGTCATCTTTAGCACCTCTTCCATTTGAAATTGTCATTTCTGCTGGACAAAAAGCCAAGGAGGAGCCTTTAAACAATGGCAAGTCCTCCCATTGCATTAGTTTCAATTGAAGGATTTTTTCCCCCCTTAGCTTTCGGGAATTTTCTTGCTTCTCTATGATTGACTTATCTAGGCTTTCATTCTTTATAAAAAGGACCGAGTAACGATGATTCAGATAGGAGGAGCAAACTTGTTCGTGATCTGAATGACCTAAGTGGAGAGGGAAATATTGAAAGTATGCTTTCAGTTGAAATGGGCTTAAGGGAACTAGCTTCCTTGAAGGTTTTCTCTAGTACATTCTTTTATTGTTCCTTGTTTAAATACATATGTTTCTAATCTTGATTCGCCTTCTATCTTTTAGTGTAAAAAACCAACATTAGGCATAAACTATTGGAAGTATGGTCTTCATTGTCTGTAATTTCTTTTAGGGAAAATAACGAATAAGTCCTATTTTTCTCTTAAGATTACTATCAAGTTTTAATATGGAGAAAGTCCTATTTGTGATAAAAGGTTCCCAAAACATTCATTGCTCCATAATGGTGTCTGATCCCAATTTTGCCCATCCTATTTAATATAAACAAAAAATTTATAAATAATTTTAACTTAATTAAAATTTAAAATTTAAAATTTTAATTGTAAAAATTATTAATCTTATACTTATAATTTTGTTTATGAATAATCATTTAATTTGAGCAATTAAAATTATTTATCAATTTTTTTGTTCATATTTTAATGAAAAAGATAAAATGACAATAAAATATACTATTACAAACAATTGAAAATTCTTTTTACAACAATTTATAAAAAAAGATTTATTTGTTAATATTGAAATTTGATATGCCTCAATAATAATCTTCAAAATAAAATAGAACTTATTGATAATTTTTCATTGTGATTTATGATTTTTTAATATAATATCATAATTTGAAATTAAAAATATTTATGAAATTGTTGTTCAAGTTAAATAAGGGGTAAAATTGAAATAACATCCACCATTATGTAATAATGAACTTTTTGAAAATATGTACGAAAAATAGGACTTAGTTGTCTATATTGAAACTTGAAACTTGATAGGACTTCACAGTAATCTTAAGAGCAAATTAGGACTTATTGGTTATTTTTCCTTTCTTTTATTAATATAGTAAAGTAAAAAAAAATCTTTTTTACTTTATATCCCATTTTTTCTTCTTTCATTTTTCGTTATCTTGCTGTTTTTTACATCCTTAATGGTATATTATTACTGCTCCCTTAAGGTCGAGGATGCTGTTGTGCTTGCATTTGCTCAACGCCGACGTCCAAATTTGGTTCGACAATTCTTCTCAGGTATGTTCCATTGTCATGCTCCTAGCCTTTTTTTGGATACAATGATTGCTCCCATTGGATAGATTTCCTATGCCTGTTGATCTAATTGGTAAGAAATAAAAATATATATGATCATAAAAGGAATTTTTTGCCTGTTTTTGCCATCTTCTAGGTTCATTAGTTATTGCCTTGTTGACCCTGCCATCTTAGAAAAAGTATGTGAAATCTGTTTTATTTGTCTGTTAAACTACAGGCTTTATCTTTCCCAATTTGACTATAACAATTGTAGCCTTTTTTGCAGCTGTTTTTAACATGTTATAGAAGAGTAAATTTTGCTTCTGTAAAACAATTGGTCGGCCTGTATGCTGTCCTTTCTTATAAAGCTTAGGGAGACCTTCTATTTGTCTGAGAAGTACTGTTATTTCATTTTTTATTTATTTATATTTTAAATATGGTTTACACTTAAAATTGTCATTATTTTTTCTATTGTGTTGCAGATCCAAAATCATCTGGTGATCCCAAGTTTATGGAGGCATATGGTAACACAGATCTTCTAATTGCTGTTATGCTATGCTTTTATACTGGAAATGCTAACATTGAAGAATACCATATTTATAGTAAACTAAAGCATCTCAGTTATGGTGACACATGGTGTTGTGGAATTCTTAGTTTCCTTAGTCTGTGCTATGTTTTCAGAATGCCTTGTTGCACTTTGTGTCTGGCTACAAATCTTTCTTAGGCTGGGCTATTGTGATTGACCAAAGGAATTGTTTCAGAGTTCATGTCATACTTCCCCTATGTAGCTTCTTTGGGCTACAAATCTATTGCATCCTCTGCGTTATGGGGGTATATTTTTTCACTGTCCTAGAATTGGATTTTATCTTGATGGGCCCATTTGCTTTTAAGTATTTCTATGGAAGTAATACTCTCATTCTATCCTGGCTTAGAATTTGTTGGTTCTCCTCCTAAATCACATGCTTTTTAATTTTCGGCCAGCCCTTTCCATCTAGAAGCTGTTTAAAGTAAACTTCTTTTAATTGAATTTTGGTTTCTTCCATTGTTACTCTTGTTATTGCCACTTATAGCATATAAAGTATCGGAGGCCTTGTATCTGGATATGCATTGCCTGTGTTTGAACTGCCAAGGTTGGATTCATGTTAGTAATAAGCATAATTTGTTCCAAATCCAGTTCACTTGATTTAGGGCCTCAAAATATAGTTTGTGCATCTCCACTGTGTTGTCAAAGAAAATAGAAGAATTCATTGTATAACTAATTTCAGCTCTCATATTCTTGGCTGCAGAACTAAGTTCAGAGGAATCGGAAGATGTTCTTTTCAAGCAGGTCTGCTTCTTGCTTCTCTAAATTAGTTAGTTTTGTCATGCTCATGGCCTTTTTGATGATGTATCGGCCGTGCTTATACTATTTTGTGTGCTGGATTGTTGATTAAAGTAAATCTCAGGAAAGATGTGTGGGGCATCATCAGGCTTTTCTAACTTGGAAGCATCCTTGAAGTTTTCCACCACCTTTTTTTTTTTTTTTTTTTTTTTTTTTTTTTCTCACTTAGAAAATTGAAAAATAAAAGGGTGGACACTGTCATCCATAATGTCATTTGCAACAGCAAGGTAGAGACTAATCTAGTTGCCTATTGGTCAATGGTGATGGAAGAGTTGTATTTCTATTCCAGATTTACAGGTTCTAACTAAAATTTTAACCTCGTGACTGTCTAATATGAACAACTTTCCACAAAACATCATCCTAAGGTAGTGTTTGGTTGATTGGAATGAATGTGGATTGGAATTCCTTAGTCTCCTTATGAAATGATGATTCCCTGACTATGGTGAATGATGATTCCATTACAATGTATATTATTCTTTTAGTGAACCAAATGTGAGAATGGACATTCTGATAGAATAATCATTCCATTCCACTTTATTCCAATAACATATAAGTAGTTTAGGCACAAGGTTTTACTGATTTATTGGAAGATAAGCCAATGAACTATCATATTTTGCCATTCGTGACGACCATGAGAACCAACCAGAAGAATTGGCCGCATAAACTTATTTTGCTCCTCAATTTTTATTATCACTATTTATTTGTTTGTCTCCACCTGATGTTAATAGTTATAAATACAGAATCCTTTTGGAAACTTGTAATGTTCCTATAAAGCTTATTAGGGAAGTCGATGGCCTCAAAACTTATTTTGCTTGTCTAACTCTCTTTAGAGTCTTGGGATAAGTTACCTGGTCCACTGAAATCTTCATGCCTGGTACTTGGGTTTTAAAATCGAGTTTCCATACCTTGAGTTGTATTACCGAATATTTTGTGTATGTTAGTCTGAAGTCATTATAGTTCATGATCTTTCCAATTTTGTATGATATGTTTAGGCTTGGCTTATGTACTTTTGGAGAAGAGCCCAGGTTCATGGTGTAGAAGAAGATATTGCAGAAGAACGACTTCAATTTTGGATCAGCCGTAGTGGGCAGTCCCCAACATCACATGATTCTGTTGATGGTAATTTCAATTGCCGATTAGCTCATGTATTACATTATCATTTACGAAACAAAACAAAACAAAAAAAAGAGAAAAAGGAAAAAAAAGAACAATAATTTATTCCACCGTCTAATATAGTTTGTATTTAATAAGGAGTATTACAACTATTTGTGCAAACTGTAGTATGGTAGATTCAGCAGTCAAGATTCAGACCATTTCTGGCTTGCTTATGAAATTGGGAGGAGATGCATCGCATAATGAACTTGGAAAACAATTGCGAAGTTGTTTGAAAGTGCCTGATAAAATAATGGGAATTTTTTATATTTTTTTTTATCTCAACTTGGATATTAAAATTTTAATTGTTGACTATTGTGAAAAAATTCTACTTATTGCTTCCAATGCTTGCTCGGTTGCAGTTGAGCGAGGTTTGACAGAGCTGAGGAAACTGGGAATAGAACAGCAACTGTGGGAAGCATCCCGCAAGGAAATTGACCAAACATCAGTTGCTAACACCAAAGTTGCTGCAGATTCAGATACATCTTCGTGATTGCTGCTGTCGCCCTGATTTGTTGTATCTTCTGTGCCTTTATTAAATTTCTTTTTTTTTCCCCCCATTTTTTTTTGTTTTACTATTTTCATCAAGGTTGCTAAAATAGCCTTCTTTTTTCTATTTTGTTTTCTTTGAGCCCTGTGGGGACACATTATATCTGTTATGGTTGCAATTTGCATACAGTAGAACTATAGAATAATTGTGTTGTGTGTAAGTTTGAGAGGGAAGTGTAGTTAAAAGGCTGTTTGTATTGTAAAATAGATTGGATGCTATAAAACAAAATTAAAAGCCACATATGTTTGAAAACTAAATTTCTTTTGTTTTATTCGTTTGGAATTTTTTTTCTTTTTTCTTTTTGGGGGTACAAGAGTAGAGATTATATTATTTTTTTTATTAAATCTGTAAATTAAAATATATTTTATTGTTGTAATAATAAGAAATTAGCGGGTGTCATTTCTTTGAGCCCTGTGGGGACACATTATATCTGTTATGGTTGCAATTTGCATACAGTAGAACTATAGAATAATTGTGTTGTGTGAAAGTTTGAGAGGGAAGTGTAGTTAAAAGGCTGTTTGTATTGTAAAATAGATTGGATGCTATAAAACAAAATTAAAAGCGACATATGTTTGAAAACTAAATTTCATTTGTTTTATTCGTTTGGAATTTTTTTTCTTTTTTCTTTTTTGGGGGTACAAGAGTAGAGATTATTATTATTTTTTTATTAAATCTGTAAATTAAAATATATTTTATTGTTGTAATAATAAGAAATTAGCGGGTGTCACACGCAATGCGTGTGCAATTCACATAACTAATAATGAAAACAAATAATAAAGAATTTTATTCAAATGACTAATAATAAAAACAAATAATAAAACTCATAAGTATGTTAATTAAGTGATCAGTATATTTTTAATAAAACTCATAAAACTTGTTTATGCTGCGTATAATAAATTTTTTATTTTTGCATATATAAAGTTGTCGCATGACATAAAAAGAAGAAGATTTCATTAATTTAATTTAAATTTTCACTTAATAATAGTATAAAAAAGAATGTAAAGTCCAAAAGAAAAAATGTTTTCTTTTTTCTTCATGAATTCTCCGCTTTGATATGATCATCATCCTATTGTATAGTCGCAAAAAAAAAAAAAAAAAAAAAAAAAAAAGAAAAAGAAAGAAAGAAAACAGAAAAAAACAAAAACAGTTTAGAGTAGCTAATGGGGCGGCTCATTGGATGCCTCGCGCATGTTTAGATGAAGTTTTGGCATTGAATTGGGTTTCTTGTCCCCCAGTAGCTCTTGTTGACCATCTTTCTTTCAACGAGTAATTGGAACGGTTTCTTCCAAAAAAAAATAAAAAAATTTATTAATAAAGATAATACATATTAAATATTAAAATAATTTTTTTTTTCTATTATGTATGTCCTAATTATTTATCTTATTTGTCAAGTTTTAATTATTTTCTCATCTTCTTCTTTTTTATTTCAAAACTCCAATCCACCAAACTAAAATTCATTATTATCATTAACATTATTATTATTTATTATATTATTACTTACAAATAAAAGAAAATTTGAATAAAATCATACAATGAATAAAAGTAATAATTAATTATTTTTTTTTTTTTGAAGCTACTCATCAATGAGGAGGTAACTATTCCCCATAGGAAACTTTGGCCAAATTACAAAGAATAAAGTGTAATTATGGTATTATTTCATTGTCATGTTGCTTTAGTTATTGTCGACGTCACATAACCCGTAAGCATTTATAGATACGTGGCACTTAGTTCCTGTGATTGGCACTTCGATGAGAGGAAGGATCCCCTCCTTGCATTATTTTTTACTTGCAGGGTCATCGGACTTACTTTTAAGCCTAATTTTGATAATTCAAATCGTTCATATTTTAAGATTTGTTCGGTATATCATACCCGTAAAAAATCAAGTTGATCGGATATTATCAGAAAGCATGTGTTTTGAAAAATCGAACTAAAAGCTATTTTTTTAAAAAATTTAATAAATAGTTTTTTTAACACAATACTTTCTGATATCCGATCAACTTGATTTTTTATAAGTATGATATACTGAATAAATCTTAAAATATGCGGTTCGAATTATTAAAATTAGACTTAAAAGTGAGGCCAATGACCCTACAAGTAAAAAATGACAAATGCCTAGCTAGTTCATCAGAGTGTAAGAGGGGGATCTTGACTCCTTGGATGAAGAGTATTTTTTGAGCTTCACACGATTTATGTCACGCCATTTTTGTGATTTTTTCTGAATACTTTAAGATTAGGGTTACTTTGACTAGGAGCTGGAGGCTACTATAACTACCCGCCTATCTATGGGTTTGCTGAGTGATTAATAGGAGAACTTTTTATATGGTAATAGAATATCAAGTCATCCTATCTTTTATAAATTATTTATGTTTTTTATTATTCTTCAAACACATAATATAAACATAGTGGGTTTTATTGTATATCCTATCTGCGTTCAAAAATTACTCGACTAATAGACAAGGTAAGTAGAAGGGAAAATTCTATAATTGTGAAATATAATTAAAAGGGCAAATTATACATATAGTCCATTTATTTTGCTGTTTGTGTTATTTTGGTTCTTAGACTTTTAATTGATTCAATTTTGATGCTTAACGTTAGATTTTATATTAGTTTAATCTATTTGATAACGATGTTAGTATTCTTGACAGAAAATTATCACTAAATTGTTTGAGATTACCTCACTAAATTGAGTAAACCTATAGTTGACCTTAAAAAATATGACATTTGTCACTTATGCGTGTATTGTTCATTAAAAAATGATAACAATTATAATTAATTAGATTAATTTGAGATAAAGTCATAAATTTATATCAAAATCAAACTAATTAAAATTATAAGTACAAAAATGACACAAAAACTCAGTTTTAATTGGTTATTTGGTCTAATTTTCAGACCAAATAAAACAAAAACCATTGAAGAAACTGAATGATGGCTCTGTTTGTTTGCTTGGAAAAAAAAAAAAAAAAAAAACTCACGGTGAGATTTGATTAGCAAAATATCAACACACTGAAGTTATTTGATAATTTTAAAACAACTCAATTGGTTGCGCATGTCTGGTAATACTCAACATCATTCAATTGACTGTACTTGTCGTCATGTTTGATTCCCAAGACTAATAGTAAAGTATTAATAATCCTATTAAATTAGTGTGGTATTAATTATCCAATTGGATTAATATCCGTTGGGTTAATAATTCCACCTCTACCTTATTACTAATAATCCTACAAATTTGTTGGATTAATTATCCATTTGATTAATAATCCTAAACCAAAATGTTAAAACAAACATAGGATAATTGGACTCACGGATTAATAATCCCAATTCCATGCTCTAATCCACCCAATCAAACATGCCAGTATGGTGTTAGAGACATAAAAGTGATAAGTTTCAATATTTAACTAATAAAAGTGATAAGTTTCAATATTTAACTAATAAAAATTCAATTAATACAATCAAAAGGTTGGTCTAATAAATATAATTTGAGGTTTAAAACTTTTAAATTTCAAGTTTATCCATATAAAATGATATAACATTTCAACATTAATCAGAGGGTCAAACATCTTGCAAGCGTGCAAAGTGGCTGTCCTTTTCAGAATGAAACATTTGTGCAAAGTGGAAGATCAAATTGTAATGGATGGCTTTTTTAATTTATTTATTTTAATTTTATTAACTTCTCATTAATGGATGATGAGAGTGATGTCCATCAAGTATGTGGGTTCAACTAGCCTTTGATACTCTCTTTAGTTAATGGGCTATATATGATTCTTTTTTTATATGGAAGGCACCAGTGACTTGATTCATTTTAAGGTTAGATATTAAACAATTATCATTTTCTCCCTCATTTTTAATTGCTCCAGTGGATAAACAAACAAACTCAAAACCTACCAAACAAGCCACTTAATCAGTGGGAGGAGGGAGAAGAAAGTGTAAAGAGTTTGTGGGGACTGGTGGCCTACATATCTTATATGTTTTATTTTTAAGATTTTACATTCAAGTGGATCTCATACTAACTAAACACACATTTTAATATCTTAATTGGAGCACTTATTCACTCTTTGTTTATATCACTCTTGGTACAAGAAAATACCTATTTTGGAAACACATCAAAAAAGTTACCAAAAAAATCAAAAAGTTAAAAAAACTAATTTTTTACCAATTTTCCAAAACACCACCAAATGATGTTAGTTATCGTGAGCCATACGACATTAAGAGAATATTAGCATTTGATTATTTTTTTCATGCTGCTACATGAACCAATTAGTGTACTAACTAGTATACCAACACTAGTTATGACATTATTATTGCGGTGATGCTATATGCACCAATTAATATACTAACTAATGTACCAATACTAGTTATGACATTATTATTGACTCCACTCATAAATCACATTATAAATACCAAAAACTTCTTAAATTATTCCACATCATCCATTGGTACACTAATTAGTACATATAACATTATTCTTATTATTGACTCCACTCATTAATCACATTATAAATACTAAAAATCTCTTAAATTATATCACATCATTAATCAATACATTAATTAATACATATAATATTATTCTTTCAAAAATTGCCTTTATGGTGGAGCTAATGGAGAAAGGATCGGTTTCCTCACCATATTCAACATTTTACATTCAAATTATAAGAGCCTAAATTCTTTATGACTTGGCGCCAAAAAAACAAAAGAAAAGACAAAGATCATCTCATACATGTCTTTGGCACTAAAGCCCAAAGAAATAAAAACCCAAGGTCCTTTATGACTTTAACACACTTAAGATACTTGGCCAAATTGGCCCATTTGTTCTTAAGCTCAACTCAACCCATTCAACAACAGCCAAAAAAGTGTGGTTTCAGCTGGTAAAACAATTCCTAAAGCCCTTGAAGAGAGTCCAACAGCAGCCCAGGTCAAAGGGCCTTCAAAATGACCCCTTATTTAGCAGAAAAACAAGCTTAAATGCATGAGCATTGATGGTGTCATTTGCAACAAAAAATAAAGAACTAAACTATACCATAATTTAGTAGAATAATGATAAGTTCAGGTATCGATTCTCGAGGAATAAAATGCTGAGTTGCTTTAAATATAAAAATTCCTTCTTAAATTAATTTGAAAAAATATTGAGATTTTATATAATGAAATACGAAAACTAATTAAAAACAAAATTTAAATGGTTAATTCAATATGAAAAGACTTGGAGATTCAAATCCACCAATAGCTGCATGAACAAAATCATTGTATCAATTTGGGAATCGAT